GCCTTTGTAAGATGGGAATGATGCCAGCTCTTATTCTTGACTCCAGGCTGTTTCTTATGTTAGACTCCTGAAGAACTGAGAAAAACATAAATGTTATTTTTGTTTTCTGATTTTCTTTGGATGGACAAAAATAACACCGATATGTGGATTCACACTCACGACTAACTTTTTGCATTTTTATGACGTGTATTAAAAACGACAGCCTAAACGAGGCCATCAGCTAAGCCATATTCTGGTTGTTTCTGACATTCTGAGTTCCTAAATCTCCTGCATATGACTTATAGTGCAGTGCTTGTTAAAATACAAAGTAATGCTCAGGTGGTCCTCAACCCTGGGCCCTGATCGATCGTAGCACCAATATAGCAGCAGCAGCGGGTCGTGTAAACTGGAGCATTCAGGGACATCAAATCAGCCAAGCATCAGGTGTGGATCAATGGGCATGACTAAATACATTTCAAAACATTTTGACACGCTTCTGGAACCCCAAACACTCCTCGCTGTGAGACAGGCTTTTTAAGTACCACGACAGATGAGGACTAAAAGAAAAAAATTCCAATTATGTGAGATACAATATTTGCAGACATTTAACCTCAATTCAGAGCGATGGAGTGTGTTTGTACAGGTGAAGCCAGCGTCCCTCTCAACCCGTCAAATCTTTGACATTTCTATTATGAGACTGTCAAACCTACAAGAGACCAAAAGGTAACAGGTGATGACAGATACAGTACTGGAGCCACATTCTGCTCCTCCTCCTTTTCTGACTCTGAGGAAGACCATCATTTACAAAATGAACACCATGTTCATCAAGTTCAATAAAACACAAGACTTGTGACTAAGACCAGAAAGTCATCAGGAAAATTACTTAAATCCATTGGTTATAAAAAAAAGTTGTTCCCTGTTCAGAGCAGTCTGGCCATTCTCCTCTGACCGCTAACATCAACAGGACATTTTCTCCTAGAGAACCTCCGCTCGCCAGATACCTGCTTCTTTTCAGACCATTCTCCATAAATCCCAGAAATGGTAGTGTTTGTGCCAGACAGGGATCTACTGGGATTTTCAAACACCCATGTCACCTTTCAAAGTCTCTTAAATCTTTCTCATTCTGACGCTCTGTTTGAACTTTAGTAGGTTGTCTTGATCACGTCTACATGCATAAATTCATGAGCTGCTGCCAAGTGAGTGGCTGATAATTGCTTCAAAGAGCAGTTGAAAAGGTGTGCCTAATAAATTGGCTGGTAAATGTATATGACTTTAATGTCAATTTTTTTGCTACATTCTTTGTCCTCATAAACATAAACAAAGAGCATAAAACAGCTCAAATATATCAAATGAAGGGTTTCGTTATTTAAATAATTAACCATGAAGTTAAATATACTTGGTATAAATCAATGTATACCCATCAAGTAGGTTTCATTTGAACGGTTTCCATTACATTTACTGTTTTTAACAACTCTATATACCGTATTTTTCAGACTAAAAAGGCGCACCGGATTGTAAGGCGCTTTAAGCGAAACAAAACAGTCAGATAAGTCAAACTTTTCTCAACTCATTCTTCTTGCCTCCTCCACTTCCGTACCATTGATTCATTAATGTTGAATTATCTGGCAGCTGCTCTATTCCCATGTTGTTGCAGTATATTAATGGCTAACCTCGTATTGTGGATGGATGATCTGAAGTTTGGTCCGTTTACAACATCCTATGTTGCGATTGCATTTGTCCATAACCATCGGGAACGCTCACGTTAACAAGTGGAAAAAGGTTAGCGTTCATCCTCCAGCTTCACTGTGTTTATGCTATGCTAACATAGCTGTGTAGCTAGCTAACGTAGCACATC